CCAACCAGCAGCTACATCTTGCATGGAAATAGAAGAATATGCAACTCCCTCTTTCACCCCAAAATATATATTGGTTCTTGTACAAATATGGAATCACTGAATGCCTTCATTTTTATATAACTTGAAATTGCCATTTATTGATCAGTATTGCTTACTGCTAGGAGCAATCAATTCTAAAACAGTTAATATATGTGGATTAACTGTATAGGTTATATAGGTGGATGCTGCACATTGGTGGGGGTGGAAGGGATTCCCCAATACCTGTAAAGCGCTTTGATTGGAGTGTCCAGAAAAGCGGTATGTAAGTGTAAGCAATTATTATTATTATTATTATTATTATATGAAAAACCGAGCATGGCTGGGTCAGAGGAAGGCACACAAAGTCCTCACTCCCTAATCATGATAAGATCACTGCAATATAAGGAAGGTTAGAAACCAGAGGAGAGCAGTCAGCTAACCTAGTTTGGTGATTAGGAGGAGTCAGCTACAGGGATGTTGACCAACAGCCAGCAACAAGTGCCATAAACATAGCTGGTTAACTTATTCTAAAACCCTTTTTTTTAATGACACCTGTTCTCAGCCTTAAATGCACTTACTCTTAGTTTTGAGCTGACTCTTGTGGTTCACTGTTGACCTTGAAGACACTATTGGTATGACTGTGGTAGTATCCTTTGACACTCAAATAATGTCTCCTAATATAGCCTTTTTTCAAGACTAAAGAGGTTCTATTTCTTTTACAGTGCAAAATATTTAAGACTTGGAAGTGACTTTGTTGCTGCTCTTTGGACTGATTCCAGAGCAGAATTTTCCTTTTTGAACAAGTGCAACCAATATTTCACAAGAAATATGGCCTTTGTGAAAGACCGAGTTAAAAGGTCAAGATAGTAACTATGCCCGGGAAAGGTTTTCTGCTCGCACCTAAGATCACTGTCTTTCTGCAAACTAAAGCCTGTGATTCTTCACACCCATTCAAACAGAGAGAAATGAAAGATTGCAGGATGCCAAATGGCATCTTCCTGTCCTGTTTTGTTTGACTTCTGACACTGCCCCTTTCCCTGTATGTTCCTTTGATATGTTAAAGTCTTGCCTACTTTTAATGTATAAAAAGGAAAGTGTAACT